GTATCTTTTCATCATCACAGTGGCAAATCCGCCCCAGAGGCCAACAACACCTCGATGGCTCGCATAGCTCTTCTACACCAAGGATAGGGCTCTGTGGCCCTACTGTATAGCTAGGTCCTGGTTGGGAGCTGGCAATAGGAACTGGGCCATCCCTTTACGGTCCTATGAGGACACACGTTCTGACGTTGACTATTGCTGCATATGGGAAGAGAGCTAAGGAGGAGGGTCATAGAAACTTCATCTTCAGAGGAGCCCTGTTAAGAGTATGAATGTAAATCTGGAGTCCTGCTGGGTAAAGACAGCTACAGCACACGTGCCCCCTCCTTTCTATTTTCTTTACATCTATATGAATCTGTCTTCTGCAAAGCTCCATATTCCACTGAAAAACTCTTTACTCTGAATACAAAGCTCCCTCATTGGGAGAGAAGAGGATGTCAAGGCATCTGATAAAAATCTCATTTTTTAGATGTCATTCAAAACAGAAAAGCCATCAATAGGCTCTGAACAATGGACTAATGTCAGCAGACCCTGGCCATCGAAATCCAGAAAGCCGTAAATGTTATGTAAGCCATGTGAACATGTACATTTTTCTAGAGCGTGAGCATAGCTTTCATCAGCTTTTCAAAAGGGCTCACAGTTCCAAAGAAACTTTAGCACCATTGTCCAATTTATTTGAAATATTACTGCTGCCCAAGCTAAAAAAAAAAAAAAGACAATTTTAAAAAATAAAATAAATGGATCCTTTTAGGCCTCTGATTCTAGTCCTTAATTATCCTGAGACCATGCTGTTTAAAAAAAAAAAAAAAGTTAATATCTCTAATATCTCACCTACAGAAAAATGAGAGGCTAATAGGTTAGAACCAAAGAGGAATGGGTTGATACACAGCTCTTAGTAATGGAGCCACCCACTGTTAACACCTGCCATGTCATAAATAAGCCCCCTGGGTCAGGCCCTGTGTTGCACACTTTATATACATGACTTATTAAAACGTCATAACAACTCTGCTAGACATTATCTCATTTGTCTTCTGTTTTTCTTCTCTTTCTTTTTAAGATTTTTTTCTTATTAAGATGGAATCATACATTTATATATATTGTTGGGTTTTTTTCTCATTTTTCAATTTGAACAAAGTTCAGAACGTTCAGTGAACTGCCAAGGACCATAGCCCTGATAGTGTCAATAAAATACCTGATTCCAGATCTGTCTCCCTTCCAAATTCCACACTGGGACATTCTCTAAAACTTGGATCCTCAGAGGAGAAAAACTTGCCCTCGCCTCAGGGACAGTTTCTTAGACATCTTTGTATTCCCCACAGTGGCTCACTGCACTCTACATGGCCAGGCACTCAATAAATATTTGTTGGATGAAGAAACCTGGGCTCCAGTCCTGCCATGGACTTAGTGACTCAGTCTCCTGCATCTTGGAGCTGCAGGTGGTTACTCAGCTGGGCCACTTCAGGGAACATTTGAAATCAATTACGGGTACGGAGGAACCTATTAAATTTTCTCTTTTGTGTATGTTGGGGTTGAAGGAGAGGAAAGGAAGTTGAGAAGGCGGGAAGGGAACAGGATGGTTTCAGGGTTGAGTGCTGGAGCGACAAGTGTTCCCCCAAATAGGACAGAATTTGGCTTATTCCCCTACTCAGTTCCAATGGCCCAACCAAATGGGCCCCAGGCCTCCGACTACTCTTAGTGGCACACAGCCCTAAATGGCAAGCCCTCAACCAGCTGCTTCTGGGGGGTACCCTCCAGGGGAGCCATTGCATGCAGCCCTCCCCTAGAACTCAGTTGATCTGCATCAGCCATGGGAAACAGGTACCTGCAGAAGGCCTGCCTTGCAGGAAGCCCCACCCACTTGGGGGCCAGAGAAACCCTCAGCACCTACAGTCTGTGAGCCCCACATCATCCTCCACCCTAAATAAACTATTCTGGCAGTTCATTCTGGAGTCCAGCTTCCTATTTTGAAAGAATGTGATTATTGGGGGTGGAAGGAGAGGACAACTCTGGTTGGCTTTGCTTTCTTTACTAGTTGCTACAAATACAAGTCAGTCAACCACCCCTAAAAATGCCATATTAGCTTAAAAAAAAAAAAAAAAAAAACCTATATGAAGCTAAACCCCAGAGGTGCCTACCAACAACATTCTGGGAGAGGATGATTAAATTGCATGCTGAGGCCAGGGCAGGACAGCCCTCCAAGAAATCACAGTCCCCCCTCGGGGGCTTCCTGTTCTCCTGTAATGAGGCAACGCTGCCACCTAGTGCCCTAAGTGGAAAGTATTCCTCAAGGCCCCACCTCTGGGGGTGGGGTCTTCTCTGCAATGGTTGATCTCTACCCAAGAGAAAACACCTCAAGTTTGGTAGAATGAAGACTGGGAAAGTGGGATTAGGTTAAGTAGGCATATGCTGATTTTTGAAAGCTGTTGTAAAAGAGTGTGGGAGCCAAATCTTTGCAGCATCTTGGACTATCCTTAAGAAAGCAGAACTGCAGTAATTGAGTCATTTGTAGCTCCCAGGGACATGATTCTGTATTGTTGTTCTGCATAGGGGAAGCCAACCATCCTAGGAACAGGTAGTGACCAGCTCAAGGACCAGTGCTAGGTGAGAAGGAATACGGCTTCCTGTTGATAGAGGAGAGTAATTTGGTGCAATGAATTCCTGAGTCCTTGTTTGGTAACTACATGATTCTCAATCACAGGGTCCACAGGTGAGTGCCGTGGTAATTAGTATGAGTAGACAGGATGCCTAAATCCTCAGGAGCCCATCTGCTAGAATCCTGAAGGATGGTGACCTTGTTTCCAACCCCTATGTTTTACCAACTTTTACCCTAAATCCTTATGGGGTACTTCCTGATGTACACAAGACTAAAGAAGAGAACAGGGTGGGAGGTGGAGAAGAGCTGGACCTGGCTGTTCTCTGCCCTCAACCTTCCTGGAGCGAACCTAAAGGGGGAAATCCCAGTATACCACAGGAACCTCTTTGATTTGAAGAGAAGAAACCTCAGAAGCTAGACTGTCTGCAACAGATTTCCTGCCCAATTGTACGTGATTAGGGAGGTTAAGAGAGTCAGATGAACACTTTGAAGAAGGAGCGTGCGCTGTGGCTGTGTGAGGGCTGTTGAGGGTAACAGACAGATGAGCAAGGGAGGGAAGCGGTATATTGGGGTGGGCTGCGGGAGGTGCATCAAGGAATGTGAGAACTGCAATCAAATCAAATCACTGCTTTCCTCTGTGTAGAGCATGAGACAAGACACAGGAGGGACAGGATAGCAGTCAGGTACCACAATCGTGAATCTGCTTCCCCAGGTTTGAGCTTTAATAAGAGCCCCTCAGAGCCTCCCACATGTTTTCCTGTTGGATCCTTCTCTAATTCTTTACAGTCAGAAACTGATCCCAGGTCTCTATGTTGCTACTGCAAGAGGAGGGGTAAGCAGAGTCGTGGGTGTCAGTCTAGACGGCAAGCACGCAGTTTCCCTGGCAGATGGGTACTAGGAAGCAAGATCAGGCAGCAAGAAGAAGTCATCTGGGAGGAACTGTGAAACTGCCAGCTCTGATCAGATAATCATCTCATTATTTCTTCCATTTGGCCCCAGAAAAAGGGTTTCCTTCTACTCTTTCTCTGCTCCCACCTAGCTCACAGCCCAGCCCCTTCTCTCACCCCCTCTCCCACCCCAAAATAAAGCAAAACCAAAAGACCCTAGCGTGCTCAGTGTCTGGGAATCCCAGCTTCCAACAGAGAAATCACAGCCAAAGGGGGAGAGAGAGAGTGTCCGGAAGGGATGTTCCAGCAACACTCCATTGGAAGAGGCTCCTTCCTTTTCCAGATTTCTTTCCCTCTTCTCAAACTTCTTTGCAGGGTTCCAGCAACCTGAGAAGTTTTTGTTTTGGAAAACTGTCAAGCAATTCATGGGCTCTGAAGTCCCATCCCCAGCCTACCTCTGGCATGTCTTGTTGCCTCAGTTTCTCCATCAATGTAATGGGATAGACAAAGATCAAAGGGTGCTGTGGATAATCCAAATTAATAAAATTAAATTGTTTTACTATGTGTCTTGTTTTGGGGTTAGGTTCTGTCATGGGAGATCCATCCAAAAGGATAATGAGATACAAGTGATGAAATAGAAAGCCTAACCCTAAACACCTTTCTTGAATCATGCTTCCCAGTCAGGAGGCAGCTATTCTTACTCCACTCACTTCTTTTCCCTTCTGAGTGACTTTCCAAAAAAGCCAACATCTGGGTATAGAGAAGAATAAATATAGGCAAAACTCCCAGGCAGGTGTCTCTGATTAATATCGAAGAGTTATACCAGGTTTCATTTGTAGATCCCTCTTACAACAGCCAGGGCTAGAAGCCAAGACCCTGGCTTATGAGTGCCCACCTTTTCCAGTAGACCTTACTGTTCCTAGTCTGTGTATACTGCTGTCAGGACAAAATGAAGGAGACCCCCAGATGTGGAACAGGTGGTGCCTTTCTGTGTACGTTCAGGGCTGCTCAGAGAAAAGGCAACCAGGCAGGACAAGATGGCTGTGTGCCTGACAGCCTTGTTCCCTCCCAGCCTGGACCAGCCCAGGCATGACTCACTGTGCAGGTCTTGGACTCTCCTCTATTTTCAAAGTTGTCTGGGTATCCCAAACTGACTATGAGAAACAGAGTATGAGACCCCTTCTCCTTTGACTAAAGATGAAAAGTCCTTTCCCTTTAAAAAAGGTGAGAGAGCTAAGCCAAGATCTCCTGAGGGCAAGCAGGATGCACAGAACTACATGAGATCTATACCAGGGGCAATGCTGTTATGGCAGAGGTCATTATCTTCTCTTTGATGGTGTCCAGAGTCCTACTGTGCTAATAAATAAAGGGCTTGCCCATCCCTGTCCCTGGCCAGCTCCCTGTCCTTATTCCTAGCTTTCCTGCTCTGACCTCTTCCCCACCTTGCTCCCTAGGTCTAACCCCATCAAAAATGGAGCCAGCTACTCCCCAGGACATCAGAAAGCCCAGGAGTGGGTCATTACCTGCGATGATGGCCGGGTTGTTCTGTCCTCCCTCTGGTCTCACCCAGGCTTCCACTGTGAACGCCTCCCGGGGAATCTCAGCCAGCACTTCTGGACGCAGCAGCAGCCGCTCCCGCCTCCCCGAGAAGTACAAGATAGACAGTCCTCCTTGGGGGTTAAAGGTCTCTGCTTCCCAGTCAGGGCTTCCTCCACCATCTTGTATGCTGTCCTTCAACACGTTTCTAACCCTGTGCCTAAGGGGGTGCTTAGGCCAAGGTTGGAAATGCGGAGGAGAGATACCAGGGTCTCCAGACATGTCCTCTGCCTGCCTCTTCACCACTCGGCGAGGATGCCTGGACTTGGCCCAGCCCTTTCCCTGGCTCTCCGCTTCAGGATCCTTCAGGTATGGAGAGGTGGTGGGAATGGTGGCAGCCACTGTCCAGCTTCCCCGAGCTGCGGCCTCACCTAGAGACTCCTTGAGTCCTTGTTTGCCAAGATAAGTGTCATCATCTCCCGGAGGCTCTGATTGCCCAATAGGACTGTCCCCTACCCACAGGGCTACTGGATGCTCACTCGGCTTCCCCCCCACTCCCACTGTGTTTTCAGTCAGGTCTTGGAAAACAGCCTTTCTCATGGAGTCCGGTTTAGTGCGTCCTGAAGGATAGGTTCCCTGATCCCTCACAGGGTAGGACTTCAGGTAGTTCCCAGGACTGCTGGGGTACACCCCAAAGAGGTGATGCTGGGGAACAGCTCTGGGTCTCTGAGCCTTGGCCCCCAGCCAACAGCGCTCCCCTTCCAACAGCACCTGATTCAGGTGTCCCCTCTGAGCCAGGGATTTCCCGCGTGTCCAGCCCAGCTCGGAGTTGGCAGTACCGAATGCCCACCCAGCCAGGATCACCAGGCTTATCCTCAGGATCTTCAAACACATCATCCCTCCCTCAGCTCTCCCACAGAGCCGGAAGTCAACTTCTGGGTACCACACTGGGATGATGGGGAGAAAAAGAAGAGACAGCCTGCAATGAATGTGCAGTCACTGGGGAACTGTTCTGCTCACAAACCAAACTTTGTCAAGCTGCCCCAGTGGAGAGCCTCTCCTGAGGACCTGCTGCTCTGGTGGCTCTGCCAGTCACTTCCCCACTGCTGCGCGGCAGGTGCTTCCCTCATGCAGCTCTAGTTTAGTCCTTGCAGAATGAAGCTAATTGCTCTTGGTTCCTTGGACTTTCCTTCCAGAGAGCTCAGGTTTCTTTCCTTTTTCTTTTTGCTCCTTCTTCAATAATCCCTTCCCACACTGATACTAGAAAGTAGAGCATAAACCAAAGTCTCTCAAATAGCACACTCACCTATATATACCCCTGGCTGCCCCCAAGTCATTCAAAAACACAGTATTTTCCCATTTTCATTTCCTTCTCTTCTTCCTTCCCTTGGGGTTGCCTTCTTTTATGTACTCCTTCACCCAAAATAATGCTCACCTTAAAACAAATTGCTAGAATTGCTATAAACAAATTTATACACAGACACACAATTTGATGGCTATCATCTAAAAATGCAAAAAGAATCTGGGAGCAAGCTGGTACTTAACTTTCCATCTGTAGATGTCCTCAGCCAGGTCCCCATTCAGCTGCCAGTCTGCCAGCACAGGATAGGATACTACCCTCACTTGGTGCTCAGGGTTGTTGATGGCCGAAAGTATTTTTTTATCCCCTTCCAACTTGTTGGTATGTGGTAAGTCTCCGTAAAGTTCTTCTCTGGGTTGACAGTCTGCTGTTCTCTTAACCAAATGAGTCTGAGAGCCCTTGACTTCACCTTCTGGGAGCCTTGTGGATCCCTGGGAAAACAGGGAAAAGAGCAAAAAGAAGAGTGTGTACTTCAAGGACCTGTTCCCTCCGGTCTCTCCTCTCCCCTTCTCTCCCTTTCTCTCTGCCTGTAATTATCTTCTTGTTTTTTCATTTAAAGACAAGGATGATGTCAAAGCTAGTAAGTTTGGTGCATCACTCCACCTCCTCCTGTCCCCTCCTTCCTCCTGAAAACCTCCCCATCTCGACCAGGCACAGGGGACAGCCCGTTTCCCCAGTAAACATCTTGGGCTTTCTCTCTCTCTGCAGCCGCAGCCTACACAATCAATAGCAAACAATCAATATTGTTTTGGAGCACTCTGTGTGTACCTTCTCCCTCCCTCCCTCCCTCCCTTCCTCTCTCTCTCTCTCTCTCTCTCACACACACACACACACACACACACACACACACACACTTTGAAAGGACCTCCCTAATAAGCCCACATTCGCCTTTTAGGACTATTTGCATGTCTTTCTTTTGTTTTCTTACAAATCTCCTGCATTTTTTCTTATTTCAATCAATCATTTCAGATTTAAAAGAACAATACCTTAAATTCACTTCATATTGAACATTGGGAGAAAGGAGAAATCAATTATCCTGCTATGAGAAACATTAAATGGAAATGCCATGCTTTCATAGTACATAGATCTTCTTTTCCTCTCAGAAGTTCCTCAATCTGAAGTTAGTAAAAGTCACCATATGCTGAGTGAGCAAATAAACAAATGAGATGCCCAAAATAAGTAATTTACAAAAATGAACAGCTAAACTCAAGCAACAATTTTTTTTCAACTGATTTGAAATGAATGGATAAAACAAGGAGGTAGATACTGTGATTCTAACCTCTGTCATGTTTGCCTAGATGCTCACACACCAGCTTTCTCAAAGGATCCCCATTCTTTATATACATGTATACATCTTCACACAGACAGATGGACACTCACAGAGAGCATGCTTAACCCAGGTACGTTTGACCACAGGTAGTACAAAACAGAGAGAGCAGTACACTGGGTCCTTCGTTCAGGTCCTAAGAAAAATCACTTACACTTTTAAAATCATTGCTTGTGTAGCCCACATTCCAAAACATGCAGCCCACATACCATGGAGGAAGACCTCACTGCCTCCTCAGCCTTGGGACTCCACATTGTCTTTTAAACTCCTCTACCCAGCTAATCTATTTGCTATAAGAAGGCGGTGTCCTAACCACCCCACCCCCAGCACACCTTGTTTCCCCAAGAAGCATCTACTGGAGCCTCAAAGCAAGTCCCTTTGAGGCTATCAGTCCAGGCACGTGGGCATTACTAAGCAGACACCCCTCGGTCTGGTCTGCTTATCCTTTTTCCTCTTATCACTTCTCTAGCTCCATTCACTTTTCTGACTCAGTTCTTTTTTCTTCCCCCCCCCCCCCCGCTGTAGCAGATCAAAATAGAAACTGAGTCTTTGGAGTGGGGAGAGGGGATGTATAAAGTCAGAAAAGCAGGGAAGAAAAGGGGGGAGAGAGAGAAAGAGAGAGGAGGAAAACAAGAAGAGGGAGGGAAAATACTCAGGTAAGAAAAGAAACCAGCTCCCCCTCCACCATGCCACCCCAAGGATCCTCAGAAAAAAGGTTTCCTACCATTCATTTCAGGAAGGAGGGTAACCCATCAGGGAAGAAGGATTCCGCCTGCTTCTCCCCCTGTTAGAGTGTAAGGCAGCTCGCATCCCCTATAGGTCTCTCCTGGCTCCCAGCTGCTGGTAATCCATTCATAAGGTTTCAAGAGGCAACACAAAACTCAAGCTTCCAGCTTAGTTTCTCTCTCTCCCCTTCATTCCTTTGCTCACCACTCTCCTTCAGCTCTTGGCAGTCCAAAGTTTAAAAAAAAATGTTGAACCATGTCTGTGTTTTCCTCCTGTTGTAACTTTGGCTGTGACATCATAACCCTGCCCACCAACACCCCACCTCTCTCCCTTTCCATCCCCCCTCATCAACCCCATACCCCCAAACACTCCCCCACCCACGGAGAAGAAGGGCTCCTGTCAGTTCCAATGTGTGAACACACAAAGCCACTGGAAGGTGCCCCCTCCTCCCCTCGGTGCCCCTCCTGGCTCCCCCTCCCTGCCTTACCCACCGCTCAGCCCGGCTCTCAAGGCTTTTAACAATGATCCCATCTGTTTGACATGTGCGGAAAGGTGGGTTGGATTCAAATAATCTGTCAAGTGAATCAGATCAAAAACACAGCACCCCCTCCTCAATTCCATCACACACAAACACACACACACACACCCCAAACCCGAGAAGTGTGAGAGAAGTCAGACTTACACAGCACCCACCCTCCATGCCAGGGAAAAAGACACCAAAAACATGCCAAGGGAAGCCCAGATCTATACATATATAAATTCTGTTGCTTATGTGTTTGTGACAAACACCCACACCCCAAGTCCCCATCCCCTCTTCCTCAAACCCGCCACTCCGCAAGTGCAGGGATTTGAAAGCTGGTAGAATCTGTTTTGAAATCTCCAACGAGAGGGTTTTTCCCCCCTTTTTTTTTACTCCAAAGCACTATCTGTGGCGATCAGACTGGAGCAGGGTTGCCAGCAAATGCAGGAGGCCCCTTCTAGGGTACAGGCTTTCAAACCAGCAAAGCTGGAGGGAATGAATTTAAGGACACACAGCAGGAGCTGGCTGCATTCATTTTATTTTGACGGGGGTAGTTGGGGGAGGAATATAATTTCTGAAATGCCCAAGGAATGAAGGGAGAGGATGTGGATTTCTTAAACAGTTTTTGCAAGAGGAGCGGTGTCTTGTGCTGCAGGTAAATGTATAAGGCAAGAAATGGGAGCTCACAGATAAACAAGGACCAGGACGGGAGGCAGAGGGAGGGAGAGGGAAAGAGGGAAGAGAGGAGGAAGGAGAGGGGATGGGAGATGGGCAAGGGGAGACAGGGGTGAAGGACAGAGAGGGGGCGAGGGAAAGAGAAGGGCAGGGAGGGAGGAGAGAGGAAAGAAAGGGGAAAAAGGAAGGGAGGGAGGCGAGGGGGAGGGGAGGGATGGAAGAGGGAGGGCAGGAGGGTAGGAAAAAGAGGAGAGGCTGGGAGGAGAAGGGACTGAAAGCAAGAAGTGGGGAAGAGAGAGGCAGGAGAGACAGAGAGGAAGGGGAAGAGAGAGAGGTGCTGAGGCACATGAAATATGGAGACCAGGAAGGCAGTTAGACCAGGATGGCTAACCGGGAAGAAATCCCAGAGGCAGGTGAAGAGGGACACTGTGAAATGGGACAGAGAAAACAAAGGACACACACAGAGGGACTGTCTCTGGGAGATCGTCACTTTTTAAAAAATCAGACTGCAAAGCTTCAACCTTGTCTCTGTAAGGAAAGCCCAGTCCCCTCCTCCCTCCCTGCCCACACCTCCTCCTTAACACCCACCTCCACCTCCCTTCCTTCACCTTGTTGTTCCTGGCAAATCCTCCCTTGGAGAATCTAGGAGTAAAATCCAGAAACCCACCCACCCTTAAGGGCCCCCTTCTTTGTTCTATGCACAAGAGTCTTGGGTCCTCTTCTCTCAAGATTGGGCTGTTTGTAATCATCTGTACTTCATTTCAATCCAAATTATAAGATGTTTCCTTTAAGCCCAGAAGGTCAGAGGTGCTCTGCATTGCTTACTGCACTGTGGGGCTGGTCAGTTTCCATTAGCATTCTCATTATTATTAGGAAGCTTTGAGCAGAGAGAGGAGCCAGTCCTGCTGGCAGCCACCTGCAGAACACAGCATTAGGGAGAAAGACAGAGTTTGAGACCCCTGAGTATGGTCACTGATCCTTTGACTTTCTGATTCCAAAATTGGATCCCTTGATGGAAAAGCTTAGCTGAGAACCAGCCAAGGAGCGTAGTAATAAAAGCCTCCCAAAACACAATCAAACGCAGGATCTATATATAGGAGCCGGATCTGTTTTAGCTACTTGCAGTCTAAAATGACAACCGGAAACAAACATTTCAGCAATATGTTTATTGGAATCATGTTCAACTAGTGCTGGAAGGACTGAGCTCCTCTGAAGGATTGCGCTCCAAGGGAAGCTCTGGATCCTTGCTTTGTGTGCCCTCCCCTCCGGTGGTGCTCAGAACTGGGAGTCAGTGGCTCTATCCTCCAAGGGGTAACTGGAGATCCCCTCAGGGTATCCTACCTTAGCCGCCTTTTTCATGGGTGATGTAAACTCTCAATGAATGGCAGGGCCAGATTCATCATCCAAGTCTCCTAAATCATTGTCCATTTTTTTTTCTCCTTTAGCTACACATGGGTCTTTCTGGTCAGCTAACTGCATGTCATTGGGTGGGAAGGCAGAACTAGAGACTGGCCTCCCATGTTCCACATCCAGGCAAAAATGCCCTGGAAATCTTTGTTGGTCATATGTGTTCTGTAACTCAAGCTCACATAGCACTCAGAAGGAAAATGCAAATGTGGATTTCACTCTCCTCTCTTGTGAATTTTGAGCCAAGAGAAGCCCTATCTTCTGTAGAACTGTTTGGTGCTCCGTATGTTAGATAATCCTATCTTTTTCACAATACAATTACTATTATAAATTATTGGCAATTTAATGGTTGTATTTTGAAAACTGCCTTTCACCAAATAGATCAAGACCTGATTGGCTTCCCAGCACCTCAGGGGAGTGGTGTAGAAAAGGCAATATGCCAGAGATCTATATTCCCTGGTGATAGTCCTTAGTGGGTGTTTCCTGGAGGATTTTGAGCCTTGGAACCAGCTTGTGAAGCCCTTTAGCTGGGTTAGAGATTCTTCAGTGATGCTGTGCCCCGGCCTGCTCAGCACAGGAGGAAAAGCTCTACAGGGTTCACCTGTCGCCCTTCAAGGCAACACCCCAACCAGAGCAGTACATAGGCTGGTACATAGGCTTTTCCTCTTACCTAAAGCATATTTGTTTTTTCCCCCCACAATGTTTTACTGGCAAATTACAGTTGTACATATGGTGGGATTTGTTGTTACATATTCCTACATGTACATAACATAGTATGATTGGCTCAATATCGTTTCCCAGTATTTCCCATTTTCCTCCCCTCCTCCCTCCCCCTTTTCCGTTTCCTCTACTCTACTGATCTCCCTTTGATTTTTGTAAGATTCCTCCTCACTACCACCTTTCTTTTCCTTTTTCCTCTCAAACTTCCTCATCTGAGAGAAAACATACAATTCTTGACCTTCTGAGTTTGACTTATTTCACTTCACATAATGTTCTTTAGTTCCACTCATTTTCCTGCAAATGACATAATTTTATTTTTCTTTATGGCTGAATAAAACTGTATTGTGTATATATACCACATTTTCTTTATCCATTCATCAGTTGATGGACACCTAAGCTGGTTCCATAATTTGGCTACTGTGAATTATACTGCTACAAACATGGGTATGCTTGTACCACTAGAGTATGATGACATTAATGCTTTAGAATAAATACCCAAGAGTGATATAGCTGGCTTATAGAGTGTAATGGAAATTTCTCGTCTTTTGGGGAAACACCATACTGATTCCCATAGTGTTGTACTAATTTACAATCCCACCAACAGTGTAAAAATGTTCCTTTTTCTCCACATTCTCTCCAGCATTTATTATTATTTGTATTCTTGATGACTGCCATTCTGACTGATGTGAGATGAAATCTCATTGTAATTTTGATTTGCATTTCCCTAATTGCTAATGATGTGAAACATTTTTACATATATTTATTGGCCATTTGTATTTCTTCTTTTGGTAAATGTTTGATTCGTTTGCCCATTTATTCATAGGGTTATTTGGTTTTTTGTTAAGCTTTTTGAGTTCTTTATATATTCTAAACATTAATCCTCTGTCAGAAGAGTAGCTCCCATTCTGAAGGTCCTCTCTTAACATTTCTAATTATTTCCTTTGCTATGCAGATATAGTTTTCATTATAGAGTACTTCACCTCCTTGGTTAGATTTATTCCTAGGGTTGGTTTGTTTGTTTTAAGGATGTTGTGAATAAAATTATTTTTCTGATTTCTTCTCAGCAGATTTATTTTTGGTATATAGGAAAGCTACTGATTTTTGCATGATGATTTCATAACCTGCTGCTTTGCTGGATTTGTTTATTAGCTCTAGCAGTATTTTAATAAGGTTTCTTGGATCTTGTAAGCACAGGATCACATCATCTGCAAACAATGATATTCTCCCTTTCCTATTTTTATCCCTTGTATTTCTTTCTCATGCCTGATTACTCTAGCTAGAATTTCTAGTATTATATTAAATAGGAGTGGTAAAAGTAGAAATCCTTATCTTGTTCCAGATTTTAAAGGAAATAAAACTGTATTGTGTATATATACCACATTTTCTTTATCCATTCATCAGTTGATGGACACCTAGGCTGGTTCCATAATTTGGCTACTGTGAATTATACTGCTACAAACATGGGTATGCTTGTACCATTTCAGTTTTTCCCCATTTACTATGAAGTTGGTTTGGGGGTCTTTTGTATATAGCCCTTATGATGTTGAGGTAAGTTCCTTCTATCCCTAGTTTCTTCAGTGTTTTTTGCCATGAATGGGTGCTGAATTCAACTTTCTTTGTTATCTACTGAGATGACTAAGTGACTTTTGTCCTAAATTCTGTTTATGTGATGAATTACATTTACTGATTTGTGTATGTTAAACCATCCTTGCATCTCTAGGATAAAACCAGCTTGGTCAGATGTACAATCTTCTTAGTTTATTGTTGAATATGATTTGCTAATATGTTGTTTAGGATTTTTGCATATAAGTTCATCATTGATTTCTAGCTCTGATCTTAATTATTTCCTGCCTTCTACTGGTTTGGGAATTGGTTTGTTTTTCATTTACATGGTCCTTGAGAAACA